CTTGGAACCCAGCTTTGCCTAGAATATGAGTAAACCTACACAACTAACTTGGAACCCAGCTTTGCTTAGAATATAAGTAAACCTATACGCAACTAGCTTTGAACCCAGCTTTGCCTAGAATATGAGTAAACCTACACAAGTAACTTGGAACCCAGCTTTGCTTAGAATATTAGTAAATCTATACGCAACTTGCTTTGAACCCAGCTTTGCCTAGAAAATGAGTAAACCTATGCAACTTTTTTTTCTAAACCGAGCTATAATTTATATATTTAGTTGTTTTAAAGGATTTTATTATTTTAACTGATTTGATTCTTTCGAACCAAGCTTTACCTGGAAACTAAAACTTTTCTAGACATAAGTCAACCTACTCTACTTAGAAAAATTAATAACATTTCCGTGGTTTTACATAGTATCATATATATATAAATCAATATATGAGAATGTTTTCCAAGATAATTGGTGTACTGTAAGGTCAGGACAACGTTCTATGAAAAAAAACAAAGTTTTTTTTTAATTAACAGAAAAATTCGGTTTTAAAAACGGAAACAACCGTCGAGTTTAAATTAAAATCAAATGAAAAGAACCTTCTATGAAAAAAGTACTTTTTCCTACACCTTTAAAATATGAATTCTTTAAGATTTATGACAAATTTAAAGGAAAAAGTTATTAAACAAAAGCTTTTAGAAATTTTAGAAAGTTCCGCTTGTTATCGGAAAGATTTTTTCCGTCACGTTAATTTAATAAACGATTAACAACCGAGGTTGAAAAAAAGCTAACGTGCACAGTCCTAGGTGTACCGCACTCTCAAAACTAGAATATTTAGGATCAAATATTTATTTTAGATAAGCACTTAATAATGTACAGATTAAATAGTTATACTTAAAACTGTATACAAATTATCAAATATCAAATACATCTTAATAATTGAATATCTACACGATAACAAGAAAGTATTTAATATAAAATAGATTAGCTTCCCTCCGGTTGGGATCATTAATATCAAGAGTTTTAATGTTAATATTATTAAATTTTAATATTATATTATTAATTTTTTACTTTTACGCTGTAGAAATACAAAGTACGGTAAGGGCGTATACAGGGGAGGGGGAAAAGGGAAAAGGCAATGTAGTAAAAAATCGATTCTCAAAACGTAACTTCCCATATGAATGCTTTTGAAAGTGGACTTTATGCTCAAACTCAGTAATTATACATCATTAAAACGTTTTTTTATGTCTCAAATGAATCCTAAAAAATGTCTCCACAACACTACATTCTCAGTTAAACTACCATACATTGCCGGTCACTCCCTTTAATTCTCTAAATCCCTAACATTCTATTCTTAATTACGAATAAATGGTTTTAGTATAGTTTAATACAGGTTTTTTTTTACACTATTCCGACTTAAATCTGGTTTACCCGAAATAGACATGGAGGGACAAAGTGCCCCTCCCAATCTATTTCCTACTTTACAGAAATTTTGCACTTTGCTTCCTTTTATAGACTTTTTAAAGAGCTATGTTTAGGTCTGGTAAAGGTAAAATAAGGCATTCAGGTAGTGTGCTATGTGGATTCAGGCAGTAGGTTTAAAAGCCCAGCTTTA